GTTGATATTTATCTGGAAACTGCACTCTTCTCCTATAAAAGTCTGCTTTTTGTGTGTGTGTTTTAGCAGCAATTTTTGTTGACTTTGCTGCTAACCATCTCAGTTTGGGTGGGATTGATCCCCTACATCAGCACATCCTATTCTTCTGGATAGTAAATAGTTAATGAACCAAATTGGGCCACAGAATGAAAGCAAGTCACAAAATATAGGTAGGATCTACCAGAAGAAATCACTTTTTCGCCATTCCCCCGACCATGGTATTGGAAGGAATTTTAGAGATAAAACAGGCAGGGTTAGGGAGTCTTAGGAATAAAGAGGGTCCATGGGGGAGGGATGCATAGGTGAGGAAGGCATACATGCACAGAGAATAGAATAGTGCCACAGGATAAGGGGAGAAGATGGCATACACTCACAGAGGATAAAGAAAAGTCACAGAGTATTGGGAAGAAGGAAACACTTTCACAGAGGAGAGAGAAATGTCTACAGATGCTGGAAAGAGGGAAACATTTTCACAGGAGATAGAGGAATGTTGCAAGATAAGGGGGAGAGCAAGAAGGGGCACCACATGGGTTTTGGACTTTGAAGCTGATACTCTGCAGAAGGGTGACTAATTAGAAAGCATAGGGTCATAAAATGGGGAAAGGGTCCAATTAGAAAGGAGCACGAAGAGATAAAGAACCACAGCATTTATAAACCTTAGAAAAAATGGGGCTCAGTTGGTTACCCCCTTGGGAACCACTCCCTACGGAAGGGGTCCAATTAGAAAGGAGCATGAAGAGATAAAGAACTACGGCATTTATAAACCTTAGAAAAATGGGGCTCAGTTGGATACCCCCTTGGGAACCACTCCCTACATGTGAGTCTGTATTTGCTTCCAATAAATTTCCACCCTTTTACTAACAAGACCTTTTAGCCTGCGAATTTGAGGCAAGAACTTGCAAGGGGGAGATTCCGCTTCCCGAACCCCATGTTTAAGGGGGAGATCAGCTTCCTGAATCCCATGTTTTAGTATTGTGTGAGAATGAGAGGTCTGGAACTTGTCTATCATTTTGCTTCTACAGGGAGAGAGAATTTGATTTGTTGGATGTTGGTGTAGGCATGTGAGGATGAAGCTGATGTCATGGATGATGAATAGACAGACACAGGGCAGAAGTAATTTCTCAGTGATATTATGAGCAGCTTGATCAAACCTTACCTGAAGCCTACCCTTGTTTCTCCCCAGCTTTATTGAGGTACAATTGACACGTAACATTGTGTAAGTTTAAGGTGTACACTGTGTTGATTTGATCAGTTATATGTTGAAAAATATTTACACTATAGATTAAACCTTACCTAAAGACAGCACCCCTTACAATTTTTGGTTACGTGAGCCAATATATTCCTTTTGTTATGCCATCTCAAATTTTTGTCTGACACTTTAAAATGTAGCCAATGGTCTTACAAACAACTGCTTAGTAATAACATATAAGAAGTATAGTCTAATTATAAAAGTTTCCTTATTGATAAAATATTTTCGGTATGAACTAGACAGAACTAATCATTTTACTTTTCTAATATAGAAATAATTTAGCTCAAGAAACCTGATTGAGCTTTATACGTTTTCAAATCTTTACTTATCCTAGGTTCTGTTTATCTGAGCCAGTCAGTTGAATCTGCTCTAATGATATTCCCTGTGCTTCTTTAGTTGGCCTGAACTTACTTCCTGCTGCGTTAGTCTTGCTTGCTCCTTTCCTTACCTGCTGCACCTCTCTTAGGCACGTATGCAATACCCTGACAGGGCATGAGAAAAGCAGTCAGAAAACCAGCATCCCCTTGTAGCTGGTTAGATGTAATCCAAATCAATTCACTATCTAGTAGAATCAATCAGCAGAAAAAAGTCATTATAAAAGTATATCTCACTTGCTTGTTTTCTTTCCCAGACAGGCTAAATATTTAATAGGAATCCAGGTGTTATTCATTTTTATTAGGTTCTTCTGACACCCAGTCCTACATTGTGATGGGCAATTAAGGTAAATATATGCATATGGAAAGAACTTTGCTCTGGAAAAGTATTTTTACACCAATCCCAGTCCAATTGAGTTATGGTTTAAGTATCTCTTGCTTAAAAACTTTATTTATAGGTAGTATATATACCTTAAACTATTTGTATTCTTTTATTTGTGAGAAAATCAGAAACTCTGATTGGTAGTGAATCTTTTTTCCATGCCAATATGCAATTAATATTGTCATTGATTTTGTTATCTACAATGGTGGTGTTGCTTATTAAAGATTCTTAGTAGCTCTGAGATTGCTTGCATGTAAATAAATTACAACTACACAATTGTTTAGTGTGCTTTGAATATTTATATATTTTTTTACATGGTTTATCTAAATTTTACTTGATTATAAAATTTTCAAGGATGGCTCGCTTAATATTTTCAGGCTTTTAAAACACTGAAAATAAAAACAATTAGAAGGGCCTGAAAACAATGAAATTGGTAGACTACCTTTCAGTCAACCTATATAATTACAGTGGCCATATTTCCCTAACTCCTATTAATAATAACAAAAATAATAATAATAGCAATATTAGCCAATACCTATTGTTTACTATGTAGCAGGCATTATTCTGCTCTTTATAGGGAATATAAGTTCATATGAGTTCTTTATAGGGAATAATTTATTTAAGCATCAAAGCAATCTTATTAATGACAATATTATTTCCCCCAATCTACAGATGAAGAAACTAAGGCCAGAGAGATGAGGTAACTTGGCTTGACCTTTTAGGATAATAAGTAACTAATAAGTAAAACTGCAAATCTCTCTCCTTCTTACTAAGTTGTACCCACTCCCCTTCTCCTCCTCCCTTCTCTCTCTCTCTTTTTCTCTCTTTTTTCAACCCTCCCCCTCCCTCTTCTCTCTTTCTTAGAAAATCTTTATCACTTTCTAATATACTGCATAGCTTACTGATTTATTATGCTTATTGTTTGTCTCCCCTGTTCGAAGGAGAGCTCCATGAGGCATGAATCTTTGTTTATTGTATACCCCAGGCCTGAAGCAGTGAGGGCACACAGTGGGTAGGCAATGCCTACTTGCTGAATGAATGAATGAATGAATGAAGTTGTAGCACCAACAGTAAATAAAGGGTGTCTGGCAGCAGAGTACTTGCTTTTATTCACAATTCTATCTTGACTCAGAACCAACTGGAAACAAGTAGAACTGGGCTCTATAGTAAAAGAAAAGATATTTAAAATAATAACTTATGAATCACGGCCACACCAGGACCTTTTGTATCCCTAACCTCTAATTCTCTCAAAGAACCTTACAGGTGGGAATACTTATTCCTAGTTTAAAATTAATGAAACAGGAGAAACCAAGATGGTGGCCTAGGTAAACACTGGAGATTGCCGCCTCGCACAACCACTTCAAAAATACAACTAAAAGACGGAACGGACATCACCCAGAACCACAGGAAGGCTGGCTGAGGGGAAATTCTACAACTAGCAGGAAAGAGAAAAGCATACCGACACTCAGAGGAGGCGCAGTGCTGAAGTAAAATACTAAGGTGCGGAGGTGCGTGCGGAGCGGGCTGAAGGCTGAGGGCGCAGTTGTCTGTTTCAATCGGGAGGGAGTCTCAGATTCTGAGCTCTAGATCCGCCAGCTTTCTCTCCAAGGGGCTTGCAGCGATTACCGGGACACTGAGAGGCAGAGCCTCTGGGGATGGAACTGAGAGCAACCATAACTGCTCGCTCCGCCTGCACTGTTGATCCCCTGGGACCTGCCCCGCCCAAGCCTTGCATGCAGGCATTTGCTGGTTAGCCTCAGGCAGAGGCTTGATTAGCGCCGCCCTAGAGATCCAGGACAGAAGTTTTCCCACTGCAGACACAGCTGATTCTCACAGCCAATTGGCCTGGAGGTCAAATCCCTCCCAGTGTTACCTACAATAGTCAGGCTTGGCTACAAGTCTGTGCACAAAGACCACAAGGGGGTGCACCAAGAGTGTCTACCTCAGGTAATTGGGACACTTAGCACAGAAAGCCACTTTATCAACACAGCGAGGCACAAGAAATTCCGAGGCAAAAAAACAGGACACAAATGACAGAAATGGAGGAAAGCAGGCTGCTGGATATAGAATTTAAAACCACACTTTTGAGGTCTTTCAAGAGTCTTCTAGAGACTGCCGATAAACTTAATGAGATGTACAAGAAATCTAATAAGGCCCTCGATGTTGTGATAAAGAACCAACTAGAAATTAAGCATACACTGACAGAAATAAAGAATATTATACAGAGTTCCAACAGCAGACTAGAGAATTGCAAGAACCAAGTCAAAGATTTGAAATAAGAAAAAGCAAAAAACACCCAACCGGAAAAATAAAAAGAAGAAAGAATCCAAAAATATGAAGATAGTGTAAGGAGCCTCTGGGACAACTTCAAGCATACTAACATCCGACTTATAGG